ATAATGTGGAGGCAAATCTAGGGGAAATTGCCTTTTTTCGCGGGAAAATTGAATGACCTTTGATTTGACGTATTTGGGGGTCCGAGCCCCCCCTTAAAATTACAGCGATGTGATTTCTGCAATTTTTACTTAAAGCGGACACAATTTGGTAGATTTTCCCGTTTTATTTTTTTCTTTACGATAATTTGAACCGGAGTTATGATTTTTTGAAAATAGGTCAAATTTGACCTTTGACCTACCATAACTCGGTCAAAAATTAAGATATTGATCTGCGGTTTGCACCAAAATTCTTAGTTTTTTATGCTCTTTCGAATGATGTATCACAAGATAGGGGTTGCTATTTGAAAAAAAAAGTTGGGGCCCCCCGCGCCCCCCCCCTGAGGGGGGACCAAAATTTTGACCCCCTCCCCAAAAGATGGTCCCCTTTGAGATAGGAACATTCCCAAAATTTCATTACCCTAGCTCAATTCGTTCAAAAGTTAGCAGGGGTGGGACGGACTTTTGGTACACCCTGTAGGAATGTGTTGGGTATAGTTCTATTGTTCATTTTGGACGCCTCTCTCGCCCTATATCACATTTTTTGCAGAACGGTTACAAACAATTGGGGTACAAACCATTAGGGTTCATGGAGTTTAAACACTTCCATGCAATGCTGAATCAGAAAGTTGACATCTTGCACATTTTTTTAGCACCTGGAAAATGCTGATTGAAAACGGCCGTTCCTACTTTCCCATTTCTTTTTTTTCCAAGTGGGTGATTTCACGTGGAAAATACAATCCAAACATGGGTGCCTGATTCGCAAACCCTTAAAATTTAACCATTAGTACTCTTAGTATATTTGCATAGAGTAGTCTATACAACCAACTTCATCCAAATTACCTAGAAAAATTTTCTATCGTTTTGAGGTCAAATAAAGCATGTCTGATGTCTGATGAAAGAGTCTGAGTTAAAGAGAAAAACTTCGATTATGAGAAGTTCAACGCAATTCGAGTTTTCTATAGCCAAGATGCTATTGCAGGCCTTCACAAACAGCTTGAGTTGGTTTAACCACATAAAAAAGATACAACATTGGATGATCTTTGAAAGAGGTTCAGTAAATTTTCATTGTCCGACCGACTCCTCCATCTGCTCTGATGAAAAATAGTCAAGAAGTTTGATTTTTCCGGCTTTTTCAAGCAATTTTGAGTGAGAATTGACATTTGAACCCACAAGACGCCAGGTAGCCATCAATTTTCTTTCATATCCTTTTTAGGTGGTTATGCTTCAGGATCATTTTTTTTAAAAAAAAAAAAAAAAAATTGGATATCCCCTGCGACTTTTTCTCTACTCTTATTTTACTGAACCTAGTTTTTACCACAAAAATGAAGCTTAAAAAATATATTTATTTGACCGGTGCTCTACTCACTCACAGTCTGAGTCTATGAAACATTTTTTCTTATATTATGCATACTCTCAGTGACCTGTGTACGAATTTTCATCCAGATATCTTTAGAACTCATTGTACAGAGATTTTTCGAAGGACAGGCACAGCCGTTACAATGATTCCAGAAATGCATTTTTTCAAAAATCATCAAAACTTTGATAATTTTTTTCTCGATACCTATAGGGTATTTTGGGCTAAAACTTAGGACTTTCTCTTACTTTGACCTAAAGAACTAGTGAAAAAAAAAAGCATGCAAATCTGAGACGGATGGTGAACTTTTGTCCTCTTTTTTGTTGA